TGTGTGTGTGTGTGTGTGTGTGTGTGTGTGTGTGTGTTGAGATCAAACCTAGAGCATCACACAAACTGGACAAGAGCTCCACACTTGAGCTGTACCCCCAGCCCAGCAATGAGCTTGAACTTGGTGTTATCCTCAGCAAGAATCCTCATGACAGCACTTTAGACATGCTACATATTTCCTTCTACTAAACTAAGTGGAAACAATTGCACTATGTCTTCTGTATGCTCCCTCCCAAACATCTCCATGGGTAAACATTCTACCACTGCTTCTGCACAGGGGCCCGGGGCCACCCTTCTCGGACTGGTCATGATAGAAGCTGCGGTTATGCAGTCGACCAGAAGTAATTCATCAAGAGGCAACTCTGGCGAAATCTGTCAGGGGAGGAGATGGGATGGCAGGGCTCCCGGTTAAAGGGGCAGGGAAGCTGGATCAGGCAGGATGGGATAGGAGTCAGCCAAGGGTGGGTGTGGAGAAGGAAGCCCCGGGAGAGTTGAAAAGCTCAGACAGGGACAGGAGATGAGGGACAGAGCCTGGACGGAAGGGATGGAGGCTGGAAGGGAAAAGGCAGAAAGTGGATCTGAAGTATAGGGAGAGCGTGGGATAGGAGCTGAGGGAGGACCCCGGGTAGAAAGCCCAAGCTACCTGCCAGAAAGCCCTGGAAAGGGACAGAGCAAGCAGGCCCATGGTCTACCCAGCCATTGGTCTCACCAGCGCACCTGCTCCTGGTGTAAGCAGCAAGGGCCCGTTACCTGCATGTGCTTCCCATACAGTTCACTAATGGGAGATGGAGCATGGAATTTGGACACAGGGATCCAGAACTGTCCCTAACTTGTTCCATGACTCCTCAGGCCTCAGCCATTTCTCTGACAGGAATGACTCCAGCTCTTCTTGTGAAGAGCTGACGCTACACTCCAGACTTCCCCGATGGCCTCCCACCTTCCTGCTTGGCTAGCATCCTACAAGGTCCCATCTCAGACTTGCCTCTCTCCGTCCTCTCCTCCACCTCTTCCGAGGTTTGCTGGCCTCCCTGTGCTCCCCTGACCCCTTTACCACCGATTGCTAACAGTTAGCTTAGCTGCTTCTCCCCTTGATCTTGATGAGGGCAAGTCCTATGGCCTCTACAGCCCCTCCCCATGCCCAATCTGGGGACTCACAGTGGAGATGCTTGTGTTTCTTTACACGGATGGGCGAGTAGATTAATGAATGAATGGATCAAATCTGAGATCTGGGGAATGTCCAGAGATAGTTCTGCACAGTGGGACTCAGAAGAGAAAGCTGGAAGAGAGATCCAACAGGCCTGTCACTATGTCCTTAGTGTCTTCCTCTCTGGGTGGGACTTGCTTGGACACTGCGTAATCCACAAAGAAGGCAACTGAGGCCTCACCCTGACAGCCCTAGAAAGAAGCAAGGCCAAGGAAGAACACGAGTTCAAATCTTCAAGATGCCAACCCTGGAGAGAGGAATGCCCATGATCTGCAGGGTCGCTGGGACAACGGTAGGACTGAAAACTCCTGGGAGGCCTCGGAGTGGATGGGACATTCTGAAGACCAAGAAACAAGAGTGGAACAGATTGCTTTGGAAGCACAAACTTCAGCCACTGAAGACATGGAAGCAAGAGCTGGTCCTTTACTTGATGGAGATTTAGACAACCAATATACAAGAGGGACCCAGTCAGATGACCTCTTGGGTCTCCTCTAGCCTGGAAAACCCGGCCAACAGCTAGACAACTGAGCTATCCCTGAGAGACTGGGACTGTCCCCTTGGGGGCACTGTCCATTGTCCTCTGAGTATTCGGAGGGAATCATCTCTTGTTGTGTGCTCTGTGGTCTACATTCCCAGTCAGAAAGCCTTGGGAGTAGGGTCAGAGTTCAGCAGAGCAGACACACACTTGACCCTAGATTCTAATGATGCATTTGCTCCTGGCTCAGCGCCAGGCAGCCTGGAGGCTTTGGACCACACCAGCCCTCTCAACAGGCAGGAGAGGTGCAACAGCGGAGAGAGGGCCTGCCCATCAAACTGAAAGCATCTATGTCAAACGTTTTGAGAATGCTAGGTCAACCAAGTCAATGGGTTTCCCTGCAGCAGAACTCTTCTGAACCTCAGACACTGGAGCATGTTCAAATGACAAAGGGAAGCCCCACACTTTTCCTTCTTTAGAAAGAGGAGTTTTCTCCACTGCTCTCAAGAGGAGAGTGCAATGAGGAGGACTTTGTTTGTGGGGCTGAAATGGGAGCAAGTGTGGACCACCACCTGACAGAGAAGAATCTTGAGACTCTTGGGAAGGAAGGAGGCTGGGGGAAATGGCTGGAGCTTTCAGGATCCTGCAGGTCTGGAATGAGGGCAGAGGGCCGGGGGGCCCTGGGTCTGGAGTCTGTGGTTAAGGGGCTGCAAGGAATGAAGGTCAGGATAAGCTGGTAAAGGCTGCAAAGGACGGGGGTGTGGACCAGCTGGGGCGCTGGGTTCAATGGGGACACCACACTGGGGACAGGTTGCAGGTGTCTGCAGCCAAGGACAAGCCTACAGACTAACCTGCCGCTATCCACCTGTGCCCAGCGCCTTCTCGCTTGGCTTGGGCGGCAGGGGCTGGGCTAACCCACCTATCCCGTCTCCACCTTCGGGGAGCCCCGAGCCTGGCCCTGCAGTCTCGGGGCACCCTCACCTCCACCAGCGGGTAGGCGATCTCGTTGTAGATCTGCTCTGTGAAGTGGTCCATGTAGTAGGCGCCGTCGAAGGTGAACTGCTTCGGGGGCTCGTCGGCCGCTCCCGGGTTCTGAATGAAGCACTGGCCGCGTGCGCAGTCCACCGTCACCACCGTCTGACAGCTCAGCTCGCGCTCGCGCTGGTTCATGGGCCGGCAGCGAACCACCACCTTCACGGACTCCGAGGCCATGGCGCCCCACGAGCCCCGGGGGCGTGGCCAGGTCCAGGGGGTGGAACCAGAGCCCGCGCGGGGCGGGGCTTGGCGGCAGGGGCGGGGCCACAGCCGGGGACCAGGACTCCGCGCGGG